CGGTAAATAAATATATCAAGGATAGGGGTATTGTAATGTTATAAGGAGAGGGAGTAGATGAGACATGCCCAAAACTATACAATAGAGTTGATAATAATGACACAATAATAAAATTAAATATAATACAATATATGTTTTAATAGGACACTTATGTAAATTTAATACAGACTCCAGAAAAAAACAACACTAACAAATTAAACACGAAATTGAAACAACAAACAAACAAAAGTGACTGCAAGTTTAAATTACTCATCAACATTACATACATAGCGGTACTACAATAACTGTAAATGTCCTGTCCTGATTGTCTCTTTCATTCAGCTTGCACAATCTTGTACATATGCATGTAAACATCATCCAGTCAGTGTTTTGTTGAATACTAGTAAATATATAATGTGTTTGTGTATCTATACATGTATATCAAAAACACATTTGAATCTGAACCGAGAAATGGATATAAAGGCCCTGTCTGTTTGTTTGTTTGTTTGTCTGATTATTCTAATATATGAGAACCTTTAAAGAACCATCAGAAATATTTATTTAAGATTGTTTTTTTATTGTTAGTTGTTGAGTCTAGAAAAACATAGCGACAGAATCTCCAGAAGTATAACACTGTTATTTGTGCGTATTTCAAACCAATTACTATTACATAAAATGAAGAAGTGAAGCTCTATAACATCAGCACCAACAAAATTTAATTGATAACATGCAATTAGCTTGAAGTTTTCTTAACAAAATACCAGGAAAAATAATGACAGATAAAAGCAATTGCACATACATTATTGACAAAAATAATCCCAAACAGAAAATTCTATCTACATTACAAGACATCGCATACAATACTGTTATGCATGAATTTATGCAAATGAGTAGCTTTATGAGATTTCTACATGTGACATGTAGTGTTATTTTACAATACTTTGTAAATAAAAATTATCTGTGTTTAGTTGCATGGACATGAATTATTTAATATTACCCACTAATATCTTAGAAACATTTACCACCAAACCATTTTCATCTCTGTTAAAAAGCTAGCAAACTATTAGAATACTGATTTAATATAATTCATGAAATTAATTAAACAATTAATTATGCACGGCATATTACAGTGACTGCTGAAATGAAAAGCGCCATCATCCAATCAAATTCCCATGAAATACTGCAATATCTTTTGGAAAATTCTTAGCAGTGTTTGTTTTGACTTTGTCAGCACCATGTTAAAGATGAAAATTCAAATAAATATGGCTGAATAACATACAACAAGGTCAATCATATTCAAATCACAACTGTGGACTAGCTCTGATGTCGATATTTCTGAATCGTGTTGCAGATTGTGCTCTCTGTGGTTGGTTGATTTTGTTGTGATATTTCACACAAAAAATTTTTTTTCAATCAGAATTCAAGCAAAGAAATTGTATGCAATATTAAAATTATGAATTTTTAATACTATGAGCATTCTACACAATGAATTATTATTTGATCTCAAGCATTTAATTTTATTTCATGGAATACCCTGATCAAATATACTGGGACTTTCGATACTTGAATTTCCAATGGTTGAATGCAAAGTCATAACAAACACAGGTAAAAGTCTTCCAAAAAGGAATATAGCTTTAATCCCTATCACCATATTCATTTAAATAGAAAAATGCATTCACAGTTGGTACTTAAATTAGGAATGCATAGATTGGTGAAATATGAACACAAAACACATATCACAGTGTTCAAATGAGTATACACTAGGTATCTAGTAGTTGCAGCATGTCAAACACTGGTTAGTTGTTCCTTATATTGGAACCACAGAAATAATAAACTGGTGTAGTGGTAGTAAATTTAGTAACAGCAAATCTGATGAAGTTTTGCATTGGCATTGAGGTCATATGATGTAGCAGTAAAGATAGTATGATTATATACAACTCATAGTGCCAGTGTGTCTTTGAAAAGTTTTCTCATTGTTGCTGCCACTGATGCATTCGGAGGCCCAGATGTTTGATGGCTAACCTGCAAACAAATCAGACAAATCAACTGTAGATTGTGGGAGAACACAAACCAGAAGTCAGAGACATAAGAGTGAAGTGATGAGCATTGTCTTGATGAAAACAGTAATATATGTATTCATGAACTGAACTTGTGAGCTAACTTGTGATGGTCTTGATACAACACCGGTAGATACTGGTACAATACCAGTAAAATGACTATGCAGTGAAACAACATGGTATCTGCACGATTTGTAACTCATCTACATTGCACGCTTATTGAAGAATTAGAAATAAACTTGTACTCTGTAATACTATGGTACAAGATAATGTTTACAACTTAATATACCTCATGGTATAAGATTTCTGGTTCTAAAGTATTACACATACATCCATTCGAGCAGTAAATATTGCATTAATTCTAATAATAAAATAGTATGAGGTTATCACAAGAATACAGCAAAGCATTCACAAAGTATGTGATCCCAGTGACCAACATGCGACCAGTAATGCCTGAGTGCATGCTATGCAATTTTCTTGTCATAACC